TTCTAAGGTTTTATGGACTGATGAAATGAGAGTGAGTCTTGATGGGCCAGATGGATGGGCCCGTGGCTGGATTGGTAAAGGGCAGAGAGCTCCAGTCCCACTCAGACGCCAGCAAGGTGGAGGTGGAGTACTGGTTTGGGCTGGTATCATCAAAGATGAGCTTGTGGGGCCTTTTCGGGTTGAGGATGGAGTCAAGCTCAACTCCCAGTCCTACTGCCAGTTTCTGGAAGACACCTTCTTCAAGCAGTGGTACAGGAAGAAGTCTGCATCCTTCAAGAAAAACATGATTTCCATGCAGGACAATGCTCCATCACACGCGTCCAAGTACTCCACAGCGTGGCTGCAAGAAAGGGTATAAAAGAAGAAAAACTAATGACATGGCCTCCTTGTTCACCTGATCTGAACCCCATTGAGAACCTGTGGTCCATCATCAAATGTGAGATTTACAAGGAGGGAAAACAGTACACCTCTCTGAACAGTGTCTGGGAGGCTGTGGTTGCTGCTGCACGCAATGTTGATGGTGAACAGATCAAAACACTGACAGAATCCATGGATGGCAGGCTTTTGAGTGTCCTTGCAAAGAAAGGTGGCTATATTGGTCGCTGATTTGTTTTGTTTTTGTTTTTGAATGTCAGAAATGTATATTTGTGAATGTGGAGATGTTATATTGGTTTCACTGGTAAAAATAAATAATTGAAATGGGTATATATTTGTTTTTGTTAAGTTGCCTAATAATTATGCACAGTAATAGTCACCTGCACATACAGATATCCCCCTAAAATAGCTGAAACTAAAAACAAACTAAAAACTACTTCCACAAACATTCAGCTTTGATATTAATGAGTTTTTTGGGTTCATTGAGAACATGGTTGTTGTTCAATAATAACATTATTCCTCAAAAATACAACTTGCCTAATAATTCTGCACTCCCTGTATATATATAATATAATATATATATATATATATATATATATATATATATATATATACAGTACATATACACAGTCGGGGGTAAGTACCAATAAACTGCATGTAACTGTATATGTTACAGTTACATGCACAGTTAGAAAAATGAAACAAGCCAACATTTTGTCACTATATAATGAACTATGTAACACAAACATTCCTAGTCTGTCCCATTTCACCTCCGTGCAGTTACCTCCATGAACAGTTGTAGTCCTTTCACTGAGTGCACTGCTGCCAGCTCCTACATAACTCCCAGTGTCCCACTACAAAAATGAGTAACTGGGCTGTGTGGTGGTCATCATGGCTCAAACTCCAGAGCACAAAGTCAATAAACTGTCCACTTAGTTTTTCAGCTGAAGAACCAGATTTCCTGTAGTAGCCTCAGTCCGTCCTGTTCTCCTGAATCATGCTTCTTTTTCTCTCAGCATCTTCGAGTGGCAGAGTCCACCAGACACTCTGTTGCACTTTGCTAAACTTCCTGTTTACTCGTGTAATGGTGATTTTCAGGGACGATTGAAGGCTGGGTGGCACCTGTGGGCCATCCACAATACGAGGTTAGTCATTCATATACTGCTGCATGGGCTGGGCTGTAGTTACATCCCAAGGTTTTAAAAACTGAGCTTAAATAAATGATTAGCGGTAATAAAAGCCGAGGGAGGTCAACAGGGATCACTGACTGTTTTAGGAGCTTTTTGAGATCAAATAGAAGAAAATACAAAACATTAAACATGTTAACAACACAAAAGCCATATTAAACGCAGACTACTTTAGACCCGGAAGTAGGATTCGTCGCGTCATCACTGAACAACCGGATAGGGTCTGTCCCAAAAGGCCTTCCTGTTCTTTTCACAATAAAGTCCTTGACATACTAGTTTTTCCTTATTAAAGAATGCCTAACATATGGCACCAGCTTAATAGAAAATGTAATTCCACTTGTCAAAACATGCATTTGTTGCATAAAGTAATGGCAAAAAACACAAAATTTTTATTCATGTTTAACAGCATATAGTGTGAATTTCAGTTCTTCCTTTAGAAATGTCTGCATACAAGAAGAAAGCGTATCCAAAGCACAGAGAGGCAGAAAAGAGCCAGCTTTTATTTTACACAGCTCTGATGTCGATGTGAGCGGAACGCACACACTTCACGTAACGTTCACTCATTTAATCCCCGATCCAAACTCGGTCTCACGGACGTATCGGGCCTGGAGCACAAGCTAAAGAACAGCGAACAGTATGTTTATGGAAACTTTCTGTGGGTGGGAGGGTTCTCCTGGAGCTCCTTCAGGGCCCGTTCCTGCTCCAAAGCGCCGCTGTGGGCTCGGATGATGCTGTTTGTGGGTCTCCTGTAATTTGGCGCTAACCTGTGAGCGCGCTGAGCTCTGCTTCCTGTGATGAAATATCTTGCACACATTAACATATTAATTGAGAATTTCCAGCCGCCGTGTTGTTCCGATGGATGGATTCAAAGCAGGCTCCGAGTCAGAGGAGGAATTTAATGAGAGCGATAACGACTGCGGCGTTTTGGAGAAAAAGCTCTCATCTCACCCCGGGAACCCCCACCTTATGTAATCTGCCCTCTCATTCAGCGCTGCCGCAGTGTGATTGTTCGAGAAATGAAAAAGCCATTTTGGAGCGGGCGGCGCCGTCTGTTGTGTCGCGTGGCCCTCGTTGTCAGAGCCTCGCAGGGGTCATCGGAGGTCAAGAGAATTATGATTACGCCGTAGCTTCATTCGGCGGGGGGATGTGGAGCCTGCCGCCAGCGTGATGATACCTCTGCAGAGGGCGGGAGTCCGTTCAGTCCACTAGGTTCATCACGACAAGATGGGGTCAGCTTTTCCTCGCCGGCGTCGAATGTAAGAGCGAGAGGCTGAACGAGAGGGCGGCAAACACGTGTGATTACTCAGATCTAAAAGGTGGGACGGCAAAGGTGGAAACAGATTTGATCGCATTAAAAATCCTGAATGAAAACGTAGACAGAGCCTCGCTCAGGCTGAGCTCACCTGACTTCACCTGAGCACTTCCTGTTTCTCCTCATTCACCTCATCCTTTAGTTTAAGGTCAACGAACTTCACAACACTCATTAATAAATGATAAACCCAATTAAGGGTAATTAAACACAATAGTTTTCTATCAGTGCGTTACACTTTATACCACCGTGATAAACGTGGAGGGGAGAAGTGGGCGGGTCTTCCTGTTTCACTCACGTTTAGTTTTGGTTCTGTTGACATCACAGTCTGGGTACAATGTGACGAGAACCTCAGCCACACACCAGACTCCATTCAAAAATTCAAACATTTACTGCAGTGTTGTCTGACTCTTACTGAAGGTTTGTTCTGAACAAACAGTGACCATGTGATGTCACCTAGGGCGTACCTGCACTCTGAACCGCTGACATCACTTTAGCTGCAGCTCCATCGTTACAGGAAGAAGCTGCACTTTGGCCCAAACGTGTTAACATGCAGACCCTCCCCTCTGTCCTCATCGTGGAACAAACTGCACTGTAAGAAGCTAGCTCTCTGGTTGTGGACACTATGGGCTGGATTTGCAGGCATCCTGGATATGCATATGGATGTTATACCTGATGTGTACCTGCCCACAGAGCTCAGCGTTTCTGTGCTCAGTCCATGATGGACAAACAAATAAGTTAATCATGGAAGCGTGATTCTTCTTTATGCCACAGAAATCACCTCGGTCCGAAGCAACACACGTTGCTGTGAACTATTTACAGCAAATATTTCCTATTTCTTTGTGCTTTTATTTTGGCGTTCCGTGATCGGAGCGAGGAGTGATGTCACATAATGTGAGTTTCTGTGTGCACAGACCCAGATTTGTGTAACAGTTCATTATTGTCAGACTCACACCAGCAGAGCTGGTACAGGCAGAGGCGGGACCAAGTCATTGTTTTGCAAGTCTCAAGTAAGTCTCAAGTCTTTATCCTCAAGTCACAAGTCAAGTCTCAAGTCAAGTCTCAAGTAATGTCAGGCAAGTCAGAGTCGAGTCTCAAGTCACTGGTGTAAAAGTCCGAGTCAAGTCACAAGTCTGAAACTTTGAATTTCAAGTCCTTTCGAGTCTTTAAAAAAAAAAAAACGAAAAAAGCATGTTGCAGTTATATGCTAAATGTAAATATTAGACCATGTAATTTTTAAATCTGTGTTTTTCTCAACACATGACAAAAGTGAACGTAGAAAATATACACAAATTGTGAAATTGCACCTCTTTAAAATGCAGCTCAATTAAACTTAGCTCCAAGAATAATTTTCACCGACAGTTCTGAGATAAGCTGCATGTTATTCTTGGATGCGGTTGTAGGACCGGCTTTAAAATCGCATGACAAAAATATCATACACATTAAAAAAACTGCATCACCAACGTAGCCTGGACAACATTTGCTAGTTAGATGAAGTCATGAAGCCCCGCCTACCGTTCTTTATACAACTTCAACCGTCGGAGAAAGTTGGAAGTTGTTCCATCTCTGTCTGTGATTCTCTACTTGCATGTTTTGCATATTGCATTTCGGGTTTTTGTTGACTACTTCATAGTTTATGTACCTGAAAAAAAATATCTCCTTGCAGCATTTGAGCGTTTTTTTTTTCTTTTTAAAAACAAGAAAATCTGGTTAATTTGATTGGCTGTGCTACAGCTCACGCACACATACGTACGGAGTGTGGTTTGAATAAATGAATGAATTGAATTAATGGTGCACACTTTCTATATAATATAATATAGTATGCGTGTTAAATTTTATATTTGGGGTGAAACATCAAGTCTTTTCAAGTAAACCGGTTCAAGTCCAATTCAAGTCCCAAGTCATTGGTGTAAAAGTCCAAGTCAAGTCACAAGTCTTGGAACATTTTTTCAAGTCAAGTCTAAAGTCATAAAATTAATGACTCGAGTCTGACTCGAGTCCAAGTCATGTGACTCGAGTCCACACCTCTGGCTGGTGTAAACCAATCCCAACAGCTGCTCGGCATTTCCGATTTCCTGCTTCGGAAACAAAAGTCTGCGTGAACGCCCCGCTCTTCGTCTTTCACTCACCCTCCCAAACACGTTGGACTCGCTGGCCAAAGATACCGAGTCGCTCCTCAGAGACAGCAGGTCGCAGCAGGTCACGTCTCCTCCGTCGCCGCTGGAGGTCGGCCTGCTCGCGCTCACCGCCGCGAAGGTCGGCGGGTCTGAGGGTCCGCCCACTTTCTGCAGCGATGCTTCTTCGACCGCAGTCCCAGGTTTAAAACATCCGTCAGGCCGGCGGCCTCGAGCCGCCATCTCTGTGTTTCTCTGTGGACCAACAAGCACTCGTTGGATCAGCTGGATCATTAGATGAGAGCACGTTTACTGATAAACAAAATGTCTGAACACCACGCTGGCCGAGGCGCCCATCGCTACTATGTCTACACGATTCTCCAGGTTTGGCGGTGAAGCCTGGCGTGTTACAGTCACGCAGGGGCTCGTTTCAGACGTTATGTACCAGGCAAAGACTGAGCAGCATCAAAGCTTCAAAGGCAGAAGTTATAAACTTTTCTCACCAGTGAGGAAGAAATCTCAGAGCTTCCACGCGACAATCAGATTGTTGTTCGTTTTACGTGGTCGTATGTTTGTGTGGACATGTGATCAGGTTCGTCATGTGCTGTGGAAAGAGGCTGATGACACTTTTACCCCACAGCACACAGAGTACACGTAAAAGTACTGCAGTCTCTGGAACAAAGTGTACTTTAATAATCAGAGAAAAAGTACTCAGAGTACATTTAAAATGTCCATCTGAAGTATTAAACAGGACTTTCTCACTAAACAGCGCTAGTGATGAAGTTGGCCAATCATCAGAAAGATGTCTTAAAAGGGGAGGAGCTTGTGTGAGTCACAGAATGAGTTGAGTATAAAACAAATAAGGATTATTTTAAGCTGTGAGTCATGCAAAGCTGCTGTAACTTAGTGACACAATATCCTGCTCCGTTGCAGGACGACCTCAGTGTCCTCAGACGAGTCAGCGTGGCGAGGATGGGCTCTGTTTTTAACTTTATTGGCTTTGATTTGATCGGAGTTTCTCAGCTTGTGGGGCCAGGACTCCCAGACTAAACATGTCCAACCAGACAGGAAGGGCCTACGCTTTCAAAATAAGAGCGCGGGATAGTCAAACAGCAGCCTGAGAGTGGGTGAGCTGCTTCAGTGAACTCTGCACACATCTTCTCATGGCTTTCCTGCCTTCAGTGGCGAAGCTCAAGAAGCTGGGCCCGTTTTAAATTTTAAGGTAGAAATGGACACGCTGCAGGTTCGGGCACACCTGAGATGCATTGGCTCAACTCTCGCTGCATATTAACTGTCAGCGGCGGCCTGCAGGGCGTCTTTCACCACGTGCTCGCTCTGCGGTTTGGCTGTAATTCCATTTGTTGCGTCGTCCTCGGTCGGAGCTTCCCCTTCGGGACAGATCGGATCTGATTTAAAGGTAAATCGGCGACCTCGCCAGTAATCTGCGTTTCTTTATTTGTCTGCAGACGCGGTGAAGGCGAACGCTCGCAGAGGATGGAGGGTTAACCCCCCCGTTCCAGGCGCCGCGTGGAGCGAATCCCCTGGTGAACGCTCAGGCCTGTAAATTGTTTATCAGACACTAATGCAGGAGCCTAATCCTATTTGCATTCATATTAGTTCCCCGTATCTGAGGGAATGACTTATTTCAATCCTTCGGAGGGTAAATAACTTTATGCATGATATCAGTATCGTCATAATTCACATCAGTAAAGTCAATTTGCTTTAAGTGGTCCTCCGCTGTGAGCTGCAGAGCTTCAGAGGAAACTTATTTGGAGGCGCTTTGGATCAGTGAGCGCGCTCACACGAGGGTGGGTAATGCAAACCTCTCAGAGGAGTGCCCACCCTCCCTCTGCAGGTTCAAGTATCTCCTGCTTCCATTTCCTGTTTCCTGTGGCCAGCAGACTTTTCTTAGACGCATTTTCACAGCAAGTTTTTACATCCTTTCTTGATTTGTGACACCATCAAGAGTCTGTACAGAGATGTACCCAAAACATGAAAAAGAAAAAAAAGATGAAAAGGTAATGAGCAGGAAAACAGGACACAGGTGGAGACGATGTGGGCGGGTCAGAAAAATCACAAAAACCGGAAGTAAGACACGACACGGTGAGAAACTAGCCTAAAACAGGAAATGACGCTAACGCTGTGTCCACGATGGCAGCGATTTGTTTGTTACTTAGAAGCTGAGAGCTGGTTGGACGTTCCAGGCTCCGGTTGCCTAGGTGACCGTCTAATATATTTATTACCAGGTTATTATTATTATTATCAGTCAAAGGTACTCTTCACTCGCATTGGTAGTTGCTTCAGTCACCTGGAAGCAGCTAGCACTAGCATGTTCTTCCACTTCCTGTGGTCTCTGGTTGCACGTGTATACAGAGCCACTGACAACCGCCTGGCGACCTCTGGTTGCTAAGGAAAACAAATCCCCAGCTGGATGGTGAGCGGTTGCTGGAAGTTGCTGAGTAAAATGAAGAAAACCTTGTGAAATTTGTATGGAAGACGTCGACTGGTCTGCACA